TTTTGAAAATATCCTCATTGTGACCTTGTATGGTGACATGACATAAGAAGCAGCAATTTCTGAATCAGGAGTGGTTTAGAAAAAGGATATAAATTTCCTAGCTTGGTGCCTTGGGGGAGCTATTTAGTTTTTCTGAGGCTCTGTATGCTGCAAAGTGGAGCTATGACTGTAGTGGAGATATGGGCATGTGGATATGGAAAAGTGGAGATACGGAGATGTGCAATTTACATCTATTCCTTTCTTTGGCAAACATATTTCATGAGGATTATGAACAAACCAGCCACCATAGGACATAATTAACTATGGAATGTGGAGAGTTCATATTCTAATAGGTAAATAGTCCACATTGCTGTTGGATTATTTGATTAGTCCATAGGTAAATAATCCATATTGCTATTGGACTATTTTCTGAGCAAGTTGCTTCGCCAGGGTGAAGGTCACAATGAGGATATTTTCAAAACTACAGGATGAAGCAACTTGCTCAGAAAATATTTATGGAATAAAGGAGAAACTTAACCACAAAAGATGGAAGAAACCTTACGATTAAATGTAGGTATGTCTGTCTATGTCTGGAAAATGGTGCATCTCTGTGTAGAGAAGACTCTGAAAGAAAACTTCCTGAGGAAAAAAAAAAAGGTTGAACCTATACATATGTTTCAAGCCATTTGGGCTGCTATAACAAAATAACAACATTATGTGTTCTCACTTCTAAGTGGGAGCTGAATGATGAGAACGCGTGGACACACTGGGGGAAACAACACACATTGGGCCCTCTCAGAGGCTGCGGGAGGGGGAAGGAGGACAGCATTGGAAAGAATCGTTAAGGGATGCTGGGCTTAATACCTGGGTTATGGAATGATCTAATCTGTGCAGCAAACCACCATGGCACACGTTTACCTATGTAACAAACCTGCACATTCTGCACATGTATTCCTGAACTTAAAATAAAAGCCTGGGGAAAAAAAAACTGGGCAATTTATAAAAAACTGAAGTTTGTTGCTCACAGTTCTGGAGGCCAGAAAGTCCAAGATCAAGGTGCTGGCAGATCCAGTGTCTGGTGAGGGCCTGTTCCTCATAGATGGTGCCTTCTGTGTCCTCACATGGAGGAAAAGCAAAAGGACTTTTGTAGGACTTGACTGTAAGGACACTAGTTTCATTTATGACGATGGAGCCCCAATGACCTAATCACCTTCTAAAAGCTCCACCTCCTAATAGCACCACATTGGGTATTAAGTTTCAAGATGAATCGTGGAGGGACACAAACACTGAGACCACAGCAAGGACCATGAGCCAAGGTTAGAACAGAACTGAATGGAATGGATCAAAGGAATGATTGTGAGAAAGAGTGGTCCTCAACAGAAGTTATTTCAGAATCACCAAGGATTCCTTCCAAATACCCACACTTACATTTGGCCTCCTCCTTCTGCACCTTTATGTGGTGTTGCTACACAATATATTAGACTATTGGAAGAGGAAAAGAGGGAATTGAATCATATTCTCCAAGGCACCCAGATGGCCCCAAAGCCATATATGCCTTTTTCTCCCCTGCCTACTCTCTCCATGTAAAGCGAGGATAAGAATCATAGAAGCAAACAAGGGTCTTCTTCTTAGCTGCTCTCTGGTCCAGACCCCATGGGTCCTGCTTGATCTCCTGGAGAGGTTGAATCCTTGAGATCTGAATGACATTGTGCCTGTGGTTTGATGTACAGGAAATGTTCTGCAGAAAACACTGGGTATGGCAGTTTCAGCATGAGTGGGGTGGACATCAGCAGTGGTGATAATTCACGCATAGGCCGTTGATGGGAGTGGCTTCTCCTTTATTGTGAGCATACATGGTGCTTTTGGCATTAGATGGTGTTATGCACTAAATTGTGTTCCCTACAAATTCATATGTTGAAGTCTTAAATCCCATACCTTATTTGTGACATGATTTGAAACGAGGGTTATTGCAGATGTAGTCAGTTAAGATGAGGTCATGCTTGGGTAAGCTGGGTCCGTGGTCTAATCCTTATAAAAGGGGAACATTTGGAGACAGACACATAGGCATAGATCTACAAGCCAAGGACCACCAAAGATGGCCAGCAAATCACCACAAGCTGAGAGGGTCCTGGAACAGATTCTTCCTTAGAGCCCCCAGCAGGAATTAATCCTGCCAACACCTTGATATCAAGCTTCTAACCTCCACAGTTCTGAGAAAATAAGTTTCTGTTGCTTCAGCCACCAGTTTGTGGCTTTTTGTTACAGCATCTCGAGCAAACTAATATAGATGGCAAGGGAGACATTTATATAATCAGCCAACTGGAACCAGAGGGGAATGGCAGATGCTCCATGGAAACCAAGGGGATTGCTTCAAATGTGCCATAGGGCTTCGAGTGGGATGGGAGAGACTGTGGATTTTATAGCATGAATGTAGACACAGCCAGCAAGAAGTATTAATGACAATTTTGAATCCTAGTTTTACCAACTGGTTTATAAAATCTTGACTTGAAGACATTTATGTTCATCTATTCTGTAATCATCCTAGGTTTCTCCCCAACCTCTCCTTCCTCTGCTGCATTTAATCAGTTTCCGAAACTCATAAAATCTGTCATGCTAACAGCCCTGTTATCTGACCCTTCTCCACTCTTACTACTCCTACCTTTTGGAGAATGTCACCCTTTCTTGCCTTGACCAGTGAGGTTATCTCTTGTTCTCTCTGAAGTCAACCTTCCACATTCTCTTATTTGCCCTTCCAAGTGCAATTGCTAATGGATGTTGAGAGCTCGCTAAAGTATACAGAAAAGTCCAAAATCCTTAGCCTGTATACGAGACCGCTGGGATCTCTTTTCTCTCTGGAGCATGTAACGGTTAAGAACGCAAGTTGTCTGAGATGAACATGCGTGTCTACACTTCCTAGCTCTGTAACCCTGAGCTCTTTATGTAACCATGTGCATTGCCCCCATCGTTATAAAATCAAATAGCGACAGTGTCTCTCTAGGTTTGATGGGCGAAGTGAGTGAGTTTGTAATTTTACTATTAAAGAGTGTAACTTAAAACACAACTGCTTAATAGATGTAGTTTATAATCATCTCATGTTTAAAATATTTTTGCTCCCTTTTCTTTTTTTTTTTTTTTTGAGACGGAGTCTCGCTCTGTCGCCTGGGCTGGAGTACAGTGGCCGGATCTCAGTTCACTGCAAGTTCCGCCTCGCGGGTTTACGCCATTCTCCTGCCTCAGCCTCCCGAGTAGCTGGGACTACAGGCGCCCGCCACCACGCCCGGCTAATGTTTTGTATTTTTTAGTAGAGACGGGGTTTCACCGTGTTAGCCAGGATGGTCTCGATCTCCTGACCTCGTGATCCGCCCGTCTCGGCCTCCCAAAGTGCTGGGATTACAGGCTTGAGCCACCGCACCCGGCCTTTGCTCCCTTTTCTTCTAGCCATTCCAAAATGCTTATAATCCCAGAATGATCCAAGCTGTATGGTTTCTCAGACTTTTAGTGTGTGCTTCCTGGCCCTTATTTGCCTTGAAAACGTTGACTGCTATTTAGAAATTGTCTCAATGATATCTTTTTAATGAATGTTTTCCTGAGCCCTATAGGTGGAACTGACCACACCCTGGCTGTGCCCCAGTATGTTTGTTTCTACAGACTTCTTTCTTGGCACCGAGAATTTACCACCAGAAGGGTTGGCTTATGTTAATCTCCCTTAGGGACCAAGTCTTTGAATTTGACCCGCTTTAGAAGATTCTCATCACATACTTATTTTTAATCAATACAATTTTAAATCTATATTTTATGACCATTAATGATAAAATTAACATATCTTGTCCTCCACAGTGATTAGCTCCAAACAGCTTGCTGAGTGGATAAATGAAAGAAAAGTGTATCTGGGAAAATATTCTTATAAAGTTTGCTGTGTTCACACATAAAGTAACAGAACCAGAATAAACAGCTCAAGCTTTCCAATAGTCAGGCCAATGCCTCTGGCCCTAAGTCACACACAGGCCAATATGAAAACACACAGGAACACATTGGTTATAGAGAAACATAAAATTTAGCTACTTAGAAGTATCTCACTTTTGCACCTACATTCTCCTCATTACGTGGAATTCATCATCTTATCATCTGCATTACTCTTTAGAGTGTGAGAAAAATACACTACATTGAGTCAACATTGAATTTTGTAAGTTTTTGCTTATATTCCAAGAGTCTCATGTATCTTTTTCCAAAAAGTCATAGAAAGAAGCTAGACTTCAGGGATTATTGGCTTGTTGAAGAAGCCATTTTATCAGAATGGCCTTTTCTTCAAGGGGGAAACAAGCCGTCATCAGCCAATGCTAGTGTGCAGGTATCCCTGCCCACTCCAGGAGTACCTAAGAGGCAGATGGCAAATTCATGACCAAGTACAGTTCAGGTATTCAGGTATCAGACACAGATATTTGTATCATTCAGACTGGATTATATCTTCCTGTAGCATTATTGTAGTCCATTCTCATGCTGCTAATAAAGACATATCCAAGACTGGGTAATTTATAAAGGAAAGAGGTTTAATTGACTCACAGTTTCACATGGCTGAGGAGGCCTCACAATCATGGCTGAAGATGAACAAGGAGCAAAGTCCTGTCTTACATGGTGGCAGGCAAGAGAGTTTGTGCAGGGAAACTCCCATTTATAAAACCATCAGGTCTCATGAGACTTATTCATGACCACGGTAGCAATATGGGGTAAACTGCCTCCCTGATTCAATTGTCTGCACCTGGCCTGCCCTTGACTTGTGAGGATTATTACAATTCAAGGTGAGATGTAGGTGGGAACACAGCCAAACCATATCAATTACATATTAGCATATACTTCTAATTTGTAGCACTAAACATAATTGTAAATATTTGTAAACTTCATTTAAGGCCAGCTTGTCCAACCTGGGGCCTGCAGACCACATACGACCCAGGATGGCTTTGAATGCAGCCCGGCACAAATCTGTAAACTTTCTTAAAACATTACGATATTTTTGACAGTTTTTTTTAAGCTCATCGGCTGTCATTAGTGTTAGTGTATTTTATGTGTGGCCCAAGACAATTTTTCATCTTCTGATATGGCCCAGGGAAGCCAAAAGATTGAACACCCCAGAGTTAAAGTGATAATCTCTCTGCCTGCTAAAATTCCAATTCCTAAGACAGACATGAGCTTAGATATGCTACGTACTATGTGTATAAATACGTAAGAATGATATAAGTGGCTTAACATAGAACTTTGCCTCTGGACTGCATCGGGGCAGTGGGGGTGGAGGAGGCAATGAAGCTTCTGGCAATTTTTGTTTACTCATCACAGTTAATTCAACCAAAATTCAATCCTCAAACGTTCATTGTGTATGGAACTCCTTTCTATATGCTAAGTAAACTCAGGACACAATGTTGGGTAGGCATCAATTCCAAAACAATGTTTTACATCTTGGGATTTTCCTTTTATTCATTCTGGTTCATGGCCTATGCAAATATTATTTTAAAAGGCATACCTCAGCAACTTAATGAGAGATTAAGTAAGTTTCAAGGCATTACAAACAAAAAACCATCCAAAAGCACTGAAAGAAATGGTGCAGAATCTATGTTTAATTTCTACCTGCTGATTATTATTCAAATAAATTTGAAGAGATATCACATCCAAAGTGTTCAGTATAGTGCCTGACCTGTATCGGCACTTAAGAATTGTTATTTTCTTCCTCTTGCAGGAAAGTATCTTAAAGATCTCCTTCCCATTTCTATTCCTTTTCTTCTTCTCATCAGTATGAGGCTTGGCTTTTCAGGAGAGTAGCTAAAAGTCTTGTTGAAGTGAGAGCCTTTACTCTAAGGTCAAGAGCAAATACCCACTTTTTGGCAAAACGTTAAGCCTAGTTTCCAGGGATACATTTAAAAGCCAGACAAAGAGAGTGTAGCCGGCAGTTTATCTGTATTGAAAAATGATAGGTTCTCATTCAAATGCAATGTGATTGACATCTTCTTCCCACCAATGGATACAGATTTGATGACCTTGAAACTCTGTCTGCTAAGACAATTGTTGGAACTCAGGGACAAATCTTTCTGCTTCAAAAGCATTACCTGCTACTCTCCATGAGCATACCTCAATTTGTGAAGTATTACCTATTTGAAGACAGAATGAGACAAATTCTTCTCTTTGATATTTTTCTTACACTCGTCAGATACTTACACACATACACACACACATATATATACACACATATATATACACACACATATATATATAATTTTAAAATAAATATATAAAGACAAAAGAACATGAGCGTTTGTTAAACCCTGTGTCTGGCTAACAACCTCAGAAATCAAAGCCTACACCGCTGAAAGACATAATGTAATTTAAAAATCATTTAGGAATTTAAGATGCATTTACAACAACTACAAGGCCAGTGGAACTAAAAGGATTACATTTTTTATGCATTTGTGTGATGTCTGTCTGAAAATAGATAAGAATGGCCATCCCCCATCTCATTTTCCCTGTAGTAGAGAAATTCCAAGCACGAACATTCAGAAAACAGTGTCGTTTTCTCCTTGGTGCTGCTTTGTGACACTTTTTTTAATAGTCCCAGCCAAGTACTTCTCTTGATGTAACCAACTGAATACTACAACTCTCAGAGGGAAACAATAAACAGAAAAAGACACATCTGTGTGTGCCGAGAGGTACTGGAGATTTCATACTATATCCTGCATAAATTTTTAAGAAGGGGTACAAAGGATGGCAGAAAAACTTAAAAAAAAATGTAGTAGGAGATTTAAAACACACTTAACGGCTGAGCATAGCACAATTGCTATGGCTGAGAGCTGAGTCACTGTGGATCAAGCCCATGTGATCTGGAATAAGGGAAAAAAGAACCGAGAACTAAAGAAGACAAGAGGACAGGGATTGATGACCGCCGGCAGGGATCAAAAATCTCAATCAAAAACGGTTTGGCATTTCTGTGCAAGATATCAACTATCCATCCATTCATTTCTCCACTCATTCATCCATTTGACAAACGTACATGAGGCAGTTGCTATCTTCCAGGCACAGTGTTAGGCTGTAGGAAAGAACTTAATGAGTAACACAAAAGTATCAGGCTGTCATGTGGTTTTAGTTCTAATAGGAGAAGAAACATCATAAACAAGCAAACAAGTGAAGAAACAGAATATTGTCAGATAGTGATAAATGCTTTAAAGTAAATAAAACAAGGTAAAGTGTTCAGGGAGACTCTGGAAACTCCCTTTAGATCACACGATCAGGGTCAACCTGTGTGGGATAGTAGAGCCCTGAATGTTGAGAAGGAGAATGAGCCACAGGAAGGTAAATGAAAGGGGAAATGATCCTAGGTACAGAAAAACGGGCACAGAGGTGCTGAGTGGGGACTGTGCTAGCAATTAGTGACACTGAGCATCACTCGGATGATAAAGAAATAGGATACATGAAGAGAAAGGGTTTATAAAGACTTGCGTATGTAAAGAAGAGACTCCAAAATGCTTACCAGATCCATACTCAAACTGACTCTGTTGGTGTTTTAATAAAAGAAAAATCTTATATGTATTTTTTAGTTTGTGTGAGTTGCGAGATGATCATTACAAAGGCAAACAATACTAGACTTATACTTTGCCTCAACATTAACTGCTAAAAAGCTTATCCCGCACAGTTCTAGAATTTTGGAGTAGGAAATTTGAGGTCTAAGAATTATAGTTAGTCAAATTGTTTTACATTATCATCACATATATAAGTGCTTTGAAAAAACATCAACCTAGTATCTTTTTGGAAGATAACGTTACCTGGTACGATGATCACTAATTGACAAAAGAAATAAATTCCATTTCTGAGTATTGGGAAGTATTAGGTATTATATAAAAATATATATAATTGGTTAAACGGAAGGTTATCAACAGGCCTAACTCCTAGAATTTTTCCTTGAGTGAATTAAAGATCATCTCAGCAAAACATATCCTGTTGTACTGGCCACAGTAAAATCTCTGCCAAACAAATTCTGTTCACGATTGTATTAGAAGTTTAAAAGTAAGCGGTTTCAGCACAATTTTTTTCTTGTTCTATGAACATTATTGTAACAACGCCATAGAAATTTATCAGGAACGGTCTTTCTTTTAGACAATATATGCATTAAATTATGATCTCTGATGCAAAAATATCACAAGAGTGTGTTCTAGTTACTATGACTATGTGACAAACCACTTAAAATGTAGTGGCTTAAAGCAAAATCAACATTTATTTATTTTTCTCAAAAATCTGCCACTGGGGAGGGTCTACATGATGACACCACCTCTCTGCTTCTGCTGGAGGAAGCGGAGCTGGCTCCAGGCTGGGCACTGCAGTGGTTTTAAGGCTTGCAGACTCACAGAACTGGTGTTACTACCGGGAACACCATGGGCTCCTCAGCTTCTCCACCTCTGTGTGGCGCCCCCCATCCAGCAGCAGCAGAATGAACACTCATTATGTGAGACTTCCGGGCTCCCTTTGTGCATAGCCCGAGGGAGACGTTATGGTTTGAATGCTGGTATCCTTCCAAATTCATATATGGAAACCCTACCCCACCAATGTTATGGTATTAGGTGAGGCCTTTGAGAGCTAATTAGGATGAGATGAGGTTATGAGGATACAGCCCTCGTGGAAAGGATTAGTGGCCTTAGAAGAGTCACAACAGAGCTCGTTACCTCTTTAGCTCCCTCCCTACCATGTGGAAACACAGCCAGAAGGCGGCCAACTGCACGTCAGGAAGAGAGCTCTCATCAGAACCCGACCATGCTGGCTCCTGGTCTCAGACTTCTAGCTTCCAGACTGTGAAGAATAAACGTTGGCTGTTTCTAAGCCACCAAGTTAGGATAATTTATTATAGCAACCCCAACGGACCAAGATGTCAGAGAGGGAGCAGGAGGAAACCTGTGTGACCTACTCTTGGAGGAAGTCAGGCAGGATCCTTTGCACCCTCTTTCACAGAATGCTCCAGAGCGTCAGGAAACATTCTGGGAAGGGTGTGAAACTCTATCTGATCAGAGCCCTGTCAAAGGCCTTACAGAAGAATTTTAGTATCTTTGGTGCTTGGAGAAAAATGTGAAAAGTAAAATACCCAAAGGCAACGCTGGCAGGTATTTCTTTTGTCATTTTACTTTTTTCAATCTTCTTAACCATCGTTCTTTTTCCAACAAAAAAAAAGAATGAAAATTAAAAATGAGACAGCTATGTAAGCCTTTCCCTAATGCCTGCTGATAATGATTCCCCTACACCCCTCCCTAGTCTTTCTCTTCATGTATCCTATTTCTTTATCATCCAAATCCATATATTTCTTAATAATAATATACAATCTACAGGCAGTTTGACATAAGCTGATATCAAGCCACGAGGAGGTAAAACACGTAACGGAAAGATGCATGTTCCCATCTGTCATTCACCAGGTGCATGAACTTGGGAAGTCTATTTAACTCCTGTGAGACTCCTTAATCATAAGAGGAAACTCAAACTGCCTAACTCACTGAAATATTTTGAGGATTAATCAGATAATTTATATACAATTGCTAGAGAATGCATACATACGAAAAGCAGGTACCCAATAAATATTGCCTGGATTTAAAGATTTACCATGCTTCACATAGGCCAAAATGACTTCTGTATTTTTCTAGGTGATGGATCACTAATGTAGACTCAGCAGAGGAACAAATTTGAAATTACCACAATTACCTGTTCTTTGCATTCATAGAAAACACACAACATTAAACATCAAGGCACAACACTAAAAATACGGCAACATTTTAGCCATTATAACTCTGCACTGGAATTTCCTATTTTAGAGCAAAATAGTATATTTCCATTTGCCTGGATAACGTTCATCTCCTAATTACCAATTTCAAAAGGTGATAATTAATATGTAGCTTGCAACAAGCTTGACGCGAGAAAAAGCACCAATCAATTAGTCAACATGGTGCTCCAGGTACTAAATGCCAGGAGCCATGCTACGTAGGGTGTGCAAAGCCCTTTGTATTCCAGCAGAACCAGACTCATTCTTACTAATGACAAGGGAGCCCATTGTGAGTTAGCACATTTCACAAATTAGCAAGTAAGAAAAAAACATAATTAAAAGAATTAGGGACACTGAATCATGGTATGTGCAGTGTTCATTTATTTTGACAAGTATAATTTAATTTTACTTATTTATGGTAATATTTCATAGTATACTAATGAATGCACTCTTGTCTCTTTTGTAAATGTAATGAAATATTAGTAATATGAGACCTCAGTGCTGTTCTCTGTTATTTAATTGCTCCTGACAGGTGAGGTAGGACCACCACAGTTGGGTTTGCACTGGAATGGTAATTGCACTGGTGGCATAGTGGTGTGAAAGTGAGTGCGTATTCACTGAGGGACTAACATGAAGGTGTGCAAAGTTCATTGCTAAGTGAATACACAAAATTTAAAGAGACATATTAGGTGAAATGTTTATAGTAGTCTTCTGGTACACTCTAAAGCTACTTCTTCTTTGGGAAATTGGAACCACCATTTTTTAAAAAGGCATTTTTATATGCTGAGAAGCACTACTTCTTCAAGAGTCTTATTTCTATCAAAGAATCCCTCTTTCTCCAAGACAAGCAGGCTGAAAAACTTAGAAATAGTCTTTTCTGTTTCATTTTCTCCCCTATACATTCACTGACAATTCCTCCTCATTCTTTTTCTTTTTCTTTCTTTCTTTCTTTTTTTTTAAGACAAGGTCTCACTCTGTCACCCAGGCTAGAGTGTAGTGGTGTGATCATGACTCACTGAAGTCTCGACCTCCTGGGCTCAGGTAATCCTTCCATCTTAGCCTCCAGAGTAGCTGGGACTACAGGCATATGCCACCCCGTTTAATGTTTTTGCATTTTTCGTAGAAAAGGGGTTTTACCATGTTGCCCAGACTGGTCTCAAACTCCTGGACTCAAGAGATCTGCTCACTTTGGCCTCCAAAATTGCTGGGATTATAGGACTGAGCCACTGCACCTGCGCCCCCCCCCCACCTTTTTTTGTTTGTTTTTAGCTTTATTGGTGTATCACTGAGAAATTGAAATTTTATTTAACATATACAATGTGTTGTTTTGATCTATGTATACATTTTGAAATATCCCCCAAACCCAGCTAAGTAACACATCTATTGCCTCGCCTAGTAACCAGTGGATAGGACTGTATGTTAGTAGGACAGACACTTTCTATGGTATCTGAAAATCACATATCCACTCTCTCCCCATGTTAACTTTCGGGCCATGACGTGTTTCTGGATCACTCATATCTCTCTACATGCTTGCTCCAAGTCTACCTTCCTAGATTTCTTCTTGTTTGCTTTAAATTTTATTACTGACCAGTATTATATAGTTACATCTTGCTACTGTTATTCCCACTGCATGTAGACTTGGTTTTTAACTGCTGTGGAATGTTTCTGACTTACCTTCATCCCAGCCCTGACATTCCTCTTGAGCTCCGGGCACTGGTGGGTGGTTAACTAGCCCACTCCTCCTGAGTGTCTTATTGGTGCCTCAGACTGAAATTGACTCACACTGAAATCATGATGTCATCTCTAAACAGTGTCTTTTTTCCTGTATTCCTTGGTTTAACAACCAGCATCATTTCCATGCAAGGTAGCCAAAGCAGACTCCAACTCTCCTTACTCCAGCGACCTGCTCAGCCCCATTTACATGCTTCTTCCATAACTTGAGAGCCTATCATCACTGTTTAGCCCAGTCTTTCAGTGCCTCCTTTCTTTTTCTTTAGAGTCCTCTCAGGACTTGTTTGATTCTTTCCTCCCATTGAGTCCATGCTTTCACACAGCCATTGAGGGGCACTAGCTCAGTCTCAAGGTTCCTCTCGAAGCTTCTCAGTTGAAATCTTCAACAGCTCCTCAAGTCCTTGAGTAAAAGCCCAAGTTTTTGCTGCAGAATGGGAAGTCCTTCATGATCTTCTAAATTCTGTTTTCCTCCTACTTCAATTCCCACTGTTCATCCAACAGGTCCTTACACTGCTCAAATGCCACCTTTCCTGAATTCAACAAGTCCTTCTCCCAATTCTCATGATGCTGTCCTATAATCTTCTACTACTTGTCTTTCTCTCCCAGTGGATTGTGTGTTTCAAGAGCAAGAATCTTGCCTTATGGATCATTTTAGACCTGGTATTTTTTTCCTGTGTCTAGCACATAGCAGACACTCAGTATTGGTTGTGTGAGTAAGCAAATAAATTGATTATATTTTTTCATACTTTCCTGATGTAACACCAAGCTAAAATAAATTGCTGTCTTTTATCACATATGATCTAATTTTTAATCTCACGTTTGGACAATATATTTGGCTCTGTGTCGAGCCTCCTGGCGTCTTCAACCAGGCAGCATGTGGCAAAACAGAGACAAAATAATACAACAGAAGAGCAAGAAGTAAAATCCCAGCCAGGGCCCGAGTCGCCTCCTCATTCACTGCCTCCTGGATTCACTATCCCACCGTTTAACACTTGAACTTTCAGCTGCTGAGCTTTGGAACGAGGGTGCTTAATTAGTCAACAAGACATGACAACATTCTGTTACAGTGAGATTACATACACCTATGGGTGTTAGGAGACACGTAGTAAAACCCAGCAACTTCAGAGACCTGAAAAGAGTGTTATCTTCCAGCAGCACGTGGGAGAACGCTCCAAGAGATAAAACACACAAGACGAATGGTGTCTCTAATTGAAAAGCAATGGAAGAATGGAGCCCATAGAATTCCAAATACATTTTCCCTCCCAGTGTCCCTAGATGAGTATGGTGAGCTGGATTAACAAAGAGTTGTGAATATCTTTAAATAGAGAAAATAATGTACATCTCTAAAGGGACTGACTCCGGGGACCATAAAAATCTGTGCAGACATCACATCACTGTATTATAATTTCTATTCCATTTATAATTCATTATTTATTCCACAGTATTAATGCAAGATGCATATGTCTTTATTTGTTAAAGGAGGAGAAGGATGTTTAGGAACCGCTGGGAATTCCCTTCCACATAATGATGCTTCTAATTATAGTAGGACTCAGAGTAGAACAGAAAATCGACGCTCCACAGATTCAGGAACAGGTTCCCATGGCCTTAGGAGTGCAGAGCTGATCTCTGTCTAACCCAGTTGACCCAGATTGGTTCTGTCTTTCTTACACTTTGCCACCTCCACATCAGTGACTTCTTCTGGGGGATCTATGTGGGCGCCTCTCTTTTGGCTGACTATGCCAGTTTGACCATAATAGCACAAAGCACACTGTACAAGGCATTCTCCTGCCCCAGTCCTGGAGGCAAGCAGAGCAAAGCACCTTTGAATGTTAGCTTCCTTCCCAGCACTGATTGAATAAACATTAAGGTCAGCTGCGTCCAGGCTCTGGAGAGAGAATAGAGAAGACGTTCCAGTGAGAGAGCTGACAATAACCCTGTCAGCAAATAGGCGTATGACATAAGCATCAATGCAAAGAAAGCCTAATCCAATAAGGCCTATGGATATTGAGAGTCAGATGATCAGAGCAGTTCTGAGAAAGCAATGTTAAAGCGATGATACAATAAAGTAGCTACGGAAAAAGCTATGTGACACCAGCCCACCGCACATTTCTCCACCCTCCACACCCAGCACCTTATACTTCCTCTCCTTCTCTTCCGGGGTCTCCACTTTGCCAGGACAAGTCCAAGGCCCTAACAGACCTCAGCCTCGATCTCTCTCTCACTCTCCCTCTCTCTACTCTCAGGAGACTGTCTGTGGAAAACACTAACACGATGATCACAAATAAATTTGTATGGCCCAGCCGGGCGCTGTGGCTCATGCCTGTAATCCCAGCATTTTGGGAGGCCGAGGCGGGCAGATCACCTGAGATCGAGAGTTCAAGACCAGCCTCACCAACATGGAGAAACCTAGTCTCTACCAAAAATACAAAATTAGCCAGGCATGGTGGCTCATGCTTTAATCCCAGAAACGGGAGGCTGAGGCAGGAGAATCTCTTGAACCCAGGTGGCGGAGGTTGCGGTGAGCCAAGATTGCACCGTTGCACTCCAGCCTGGGCAACAAAAGCGAAATTTCATTTCAAAAAAAAATAATAATAAATAAACAAATAAATAAATAAATAATTGATATGGCCAAAGCCTTGGCATTCCGAAGGGGTGATTTAAAATTTTTAAATCTCTTCTCTCTTTACAGAGTTTGACTTGCAAAAATAAGTCTGACTAAGGAGATCAAGAAAATCCACCTTTAAAATGTAGAATTCATCAAGTCACTTTGTTCTCAGATGAGAATCGGCTCCCTCCTGCTGCGGGCAACACCCTCTGCGGCTCATTCTTGGGAGGAACAGGCTAGAAAGGAACATAATTTCAGGGGCAAATAAGAACATATCAATTTACTATCCGTCTAAGTATCTTCTATTATTCTGTATGTCTCTAGGCAAGGACTCAGCCAGGCACAAAGACTGTCATCTTTGTCCTTAAAAGATGCCTCTACTTCTCCTGTAGGAAGGGGAAAGAGACAGGCAGCCAAGGGGTCAGGTTCAATATTGTCTTTAATCATATGGCTCCATGAGCAAATTCTTACCTGCTGGTGTCTTCCACAGTGAGGTTGCTGCGTTCCACAGGTGGTGAAGGCTGGGATGACTCCCCTTCCTCCTGATGAATGAACTTTTGCAGGGAATCAGAAAAGGCTTCTTTCAGACACTCATTCCTAGTTTATAATAGGGAAATCCATTTGCCTCAGAGCTCAGTGAGGTGGAGGTAGAGAGGTGGTTCATTGCAAATCTAAACAACTTTCGCACTCTGTAAACAAGCAGGGACTGGTTACTTGGCCATTTGAGATGTCCTTGGGAATGGACTTTAATTTAGGCAGTCAAGGTAAACCCCAGCCTCCCTGATGACTGTTGAGAAGTCTACTTTCAGACTAATTTGTTTTTCTTTACTGGGAGTCTGTTTTGTCTCGGAACGTGCGCGCGCACGTGTGTGTGTGTGTGTGTGTGTGTGTTTAATCATGTCTTGTATTGGGTAGCATGCAGTTTCACTGCAATGAGTTTAGGTATGTACTCAATGGGACTTATTTTTCTTAGGACTTACTGAAACTCCTGATTCTCCAGACTCCGTTCTTTCATAAGTTGTGGGAAAAATATTTATTATTTCTATGAATATTGCCTCTCTTCCACTTTTGTCTGTTTTCTTTCTTTGGTCCTCTAATTAGAGGTAGCTTTCTAACAGGTAACCTATGAGATTTCTAACAGGTAAACAGAGATAAAATCTCTGTATCTCTTTTTGTTCTATGTGGGATAAATGATTCTAATCTATTCTACTACCCATTAATTCTTTTTTTCATGGGCATCATATGTGCTGTTCCTCTCATTTGAATTATCTGAGTTTCAATGATCACATTTTTAACATGTTCCATTTAATTTTTTCTAAAATCTATCTTGTATTTTTGAAGCATCCTCTGTCTTTTCTGATAACTATATTTCCTTTTTTAAATGTCTTTCAGCATTTTAAGCATATTGCTCCACATGAATTTGGGGCGTGGGGATGCTGGAGAGCTCATTTTTCAGGAGTGGTTTGCGTGTGTTTCCACCGGGTGCACTAGGGGTTCACAGCCTTGATAATCTCAGTTCCAACCCTGATCCTTTATGAGTTAGGGCCATGGTTACAAACATTCAGGGAAGTTCCCACAGCCTGTATTTTACTCAGACCTCACTGACATCCACGTAGACACAGCCTGGAATTCATTCCAGCCCCCTGAGCTAGCAGGCAGATTTTCTTCTTGCATACTTTTCAGTGAGGGTGTGACCCAGCCAGGGCCAGGCTTAGTTGGGTGGAGCAGAAGATACGAGTAAGTTTTGATTTCTGACCCAAAGATTCAAGGACCCAACTTCTGTCTCCTGTGGTGAGTGCCCCCAATCCCCTGATGCACAAATTAGAAAAGCATCCCTGTCCTCTGCATTCCTGTGTCCTCCCAGTATCTCTCAACACTTTGTTCTTCACTCCGGCGGCTGCAGAGTCCCTCTCCTGAACTCAGCCAAGCATTCAAATAATGCTTGTAGTCGTGCACACAGAATTTCCAGGAGGTGTCAGAGGCAGCACCTTCAGGATACCTGCTACCACACTGTCGAAGTTGAAATAAAAGGAAATTGTTATAATTATTTTCTGTAGGGATCTCTGCAAAATTTCTAGTGATACAAACACATTAATAGCATGTAATTCTCAAACTAAATAAAACAACCACTTTCTCAATGGATTATAATATTTTCCTTTATGTGTAATTATACTTTTATAAAACATTCACTCTGACATGGAAAAAGCAACTTTCCATTTATACGAAAACCAACATAGGATGATTATTTTATTTCATGATTTAATGGATTAATCTAATTGATTTCATTTGATTCTGGCATGTTGCCTTGAGGTAGGTTTCACTTTGATTTGCTTTCTAAGGGAAAAAAACTGAAAGTCAAAACAAAATGAAAAGGGAAGTTTTTATTTTCAAAATCAAATGAAAAGTCAAATAAAAATGAGCAATTCTTTCAAAATTCTAATGTTTGCATATGGCAAAGGTAAGGTCTGAACCAAGGTCTGCCTAAATTCAAAGTCAGTTCTTCTTTCGCCAGTGAGATTTCTGTTGACGTCCTTCAGGAATCCCCTGACACTCCAGGAATCCTGCCCAGACCTAGTCAGGCACCATCACTAGAGATGAGAATGGATACACTTTCCAAAAAGCCTTCCAGGCAATCCTTTCCCACTAAGGTTTGATAAACGTTGCATGCTATCATGCTGCTTTTATATGTATGACTTAAATCAGCTCTTTTTACTAGAGATTTTGTGTGAGGGTAGTCAAATCCCCTGGAGAACATCAACTATGACTACAACGCATTATTTTGTTCAAGATGCAGAAAACAAATATAAGAGCCATAGTATGTGGAAGACACGGGAGGTCAGAGTGAGGCTGGTCTATCGATGGATGGAGGTTGATGGGGCACCAAGGAATTCATGGGGGGAGGAGGCTTCTTTTTGATTCATCTCTGCCAAGATTTTGTTTCCATGCTTGCCATTTTCTCTTGCCTTTGAATTTTTACCTAATCTGGTAGTCTGGAGTACTTCAGATGTGAGCTAAGAAAGGATGGTGGGGGTAAGTGACCAGAGAATGAGACAGAGGTGACACATGTTTGAGGAAAAAGGACGGAGGAAAGAGAGAGACCAGAGGAGGGAGGCAGGGTATCCACAAGATGACTCTAGTCCAGAGAATCACAGGGTGAATCACTACTATGAAAAATTATTTGCTCTGTCTGAATCTTCCTCTCCTCACTTGTGGAATGGGGAGAAAAACCACTGTCTTGAATAAGAAAATGAATGGAACGTGCTTTGAGGAGAATGGGGCAATGATGCTGATTGTGTCCTTGTAGCAAATGGGAGCACAGCGTGGTAGTGATGACGGCAAGCATGCCGTTTCCCCAGCTCAGACCAGCCAGGGGAAAGAGAGGCCGCAGGAGGTTTTACCCCAGGCCTTGCGAGATTAGTCACACAGAGACTCCCCAGAACCATCTCCATGTTCAGCACTGCCCACCCGCCTCATTCTACCCTGAGCCTGCACTAAGCTACACGTGAGAAAAGGTCAGACATGCCAAGTTCAAGGCAAGTGAGAGGACTTGTGATAAGCCCCTTATTTGCACTCACAAGACCAAACTGCCTAGAGCATGGGGCATATCACCTACAGCATACAGCGCACAGCACTACAAGAGGCCTTGAAAATGCACCTTGCCAAGCCTGGGAGAGGAAAGGCATTCCTAGTGGAGGGACATGTGCAGAGTTGAAAAGGCCTGAAGGCAGCCTCTTCGGGATGGGCCATGAGTGTTGAAGACAGGGGAGTAGCGACTAAGAGTCTGCACAGGTGCAACCCCCACAGGTTCACTAAGAGTCTGCACAGGTTGACAGCACATTTGCAAAGCCTCGAGTGCTGTGCTGAGAAGCCTATTCTATATGTGCTGGAAAATAAGAGCTTTATATATGAAAAACAAGTCTAGGAGTAGAGTGGAAGATAGACTGAAGAGTAAGGGGGGACCTGGATATAAGAAACCCATTAGGTGCGTTAGAAATCACATTGACAAGAATTTAAGAGTACCTAAACTTGGGCAGTGGCAGCGCATGAGAGGAAAGGGGGATTCCAGAAATGTTTCAGCAGCAGAAGAAGCAGATTCAGATTCAGTAAACAAATTAAGAGAATTTAGGGTCTGTGTGTGTGTGTGTGTGTGTTGTGTGTGTGTTTGTGTGTGTGTATGTAGGGACTGGATTGCTAGTTTGGGCTAATTATGAGAATGCCATAGATTACCCACAGGTAATTTGGAGAAGAAGCAGGTTGTGAAGGACAGGTTAGAAGTAGAGTAAGCCAGGCCACTTACTTTATTTGGATGTTTGGAGGTTGTGGTGCCTGCAGAATGGGACAGAGCTGACCAGCAGGTTTTGAAACTGTCCAGGATTCAACAGAGAGGGATGAGCTGCCTATCAATGTTTTACAAACACCAGTAGACAACTGGAAATTCAAGTCTTAGGTGTTGCAATGGTTCAGTTGTTGTGACTGGGCTTAGATACCTGGTAAAACTTGCCTACTGAGCATACCTGTGAAGGTCCTTCTGGAAGAGTCTGGCATTTGATTCAGTACGCTGAGCAAAGAAGATCACCCTCACCAATGTGGGCGGACACCAGGCAATCTGTTAAGGGCTTGAATAGAACAAAAAGGCAGAGGATGGGTGAATTTCCTTTCTGCTTGACCTGAGACGCCCGTCTTCATCTGTCCTTGCACGTCAGTGGTCCTGGTTCTCAGGCCTCTGGGCTTGGACTGGAACAACACCAGCAGCTTTGCTGGGCCTCTAGCTCTCAGGTGGCAGATTGTGGGACTTCTCTGTGTCCACCATTATTTTAGCCAATCCCTCATCATAAATCTCTTTCTGTCTATTTCTATATATGCTATTGGTCCTGGTTCTCTGGAAAACTCTAATACAGGTGTCAATGAGATATCTGGGAAAAGGGAGAGCCTTAGGGGGAGTAAGGCAATTGGAGGAATTGTGAAGCATGGCCAGTCTTAAGAAGCGGACTACCAGCGAGCATGATCAGAAAGCTACTCTAAGAAGAAATGCCCACAGCGGAAAGAGGAAAGGCAGAAGACATAGAGGGGATAAGTGTCTGGGTGTGTTGTACTCACCCTTCTAACCACTACTCAGCCCTGGGAATGGAGAAGGGATGGGGAAGAGCTTGGCATATTCCAGCTCTGACCTAATGCCTAGGCCAGTCCTGTGTTATGAGGCCCAACCTGATGCAAACCAGAGAAAGGGCCACAAATCAGCAAGACTGAGCGCTTTTCCTACAGAGACAATTCTGCTGGGACCCTGCGAAATGGGTTGTGCGTGTGTGCACTGGGAGATGCACAGTGTGCACGTGTGTGTACACACATGTTTGTTTAGTTTGTGAAATTGAATCCCTGATTTCAAACCTTGTTTTATCATGGAATTGAACAGATATCTGCTCAGAGATAAACAGGCCCTGCCTGGATGTTTGATGGTTTCGTCTCTACCTGTTTATCACCTCTGTTTCAAGGAACGGTATGCGCCAGTTGAAAAGTCAGATCTTTCTTCACAGATCTTTGTTTGTTTGTTTGTTTGTTTTTTCCAGCCACCAGGTTAGTTTACACTCTTGGAGAGGGTAGATACATTTTGTTATCTGAAAAAGAGAGATAATGATCAGCTCGCAGTCTCCAAAATAGTTAACAAATGACCATAACTGTACACAATTTATTTGAAATGCTAAAAATCATCAGGCTTTTTCAATGAACATCTTGTTTTAATGAATACCTTCAACTGAATCATATTTTTGCTTTTAAGAATAGATTTTCAAAGTGTGGAATTACGTGTGTCTCTGTTTTTCTTTAGGCAGTGGTGATAAATCTGTGCCTGGGAATCTTTCATCTGAATAATTAAAATGATATAATAAAAATGACCTTTCAGCCCTATAGACCCAGTGAGCTTTGGGTTGATAATGGAATAATCAAATAATCAGAGAACAAGGCCATCCACAGAGCTCCTGAGGAAGCGAGACCAGTGCACAGTGAAAGATGATGTCAGGGATGATGTCAGGAGACAGAGGCAGAGGGAATCACAGCCCCCAGCACCAAGTGCAAGGCAGGACCAGAGATCATGTGTGTGACAAGGAGGCAAGCATGGTGGGTGGGGGAGGCATAGGGAAGTGGATGCAGAGAGAAGACCAGGCTTGGAGGAGCAGGTGTCTGATGGGGGAACACCTCGGGGGGGCAGTTTCTTGGAGGGGGAGAACCACTTCACACTGTTTGTTCCATTTAGAGCATCTCAGGGCATGGAGTCATTTTTCAAGAGAAGTAGCTGAGACAAGGATCTCTGACTTGCACCTTCTTTGTACGTCTGCACATATTGTTAACGACCTTAGCTTCCCTCTTCATAACATAGGCCACTTCTTCAACGGGGCACAAGGGTACAAAGGGATGGGTCGCTGGGAATCAGCCACTGTAGTTTGGATAGTTTGAGCCACAACAGGCACCAGAGGAACCTGGGCCAGGCTGGTTTCACTGCAGCCTCCTTTAGTTTTGGAGACAGCAGACACGGGTGGGAGAGGGAAACAGCCCATTCAGTCCTCTCCATGAAGGCATAGCAGCATCTGTGAAGAGGGCAGGGGACAGGACCTCAAGCAAGGCCCCAACACAGTACTGGCAGTAACATGATTTCCAGGGTGGTAGAAGACAGGGCATGGGCTCATGCTTGCTGCAGACCCATGCGAATGGGACCAACGGGCAGAATGGAATAAGCACTGAACCACCTAAAATAACAACCACTGCAGTAACACCAAACAGAACTGGGTTGTTCGGAAAATGACAGAAGCCCATGTCACCACCCTTAATTGTTTGTTACATGCTGCTGCAGGAAATAAAATTATTTTGGTAGAGGGAAATATTGTGTGTTCCAGCTTTCAGGCACAGATGCAGTTTGGGTGAGAAAATAGAGATTAGGTCAATAAAGGGGCCTCTGGTCTTCATGCCTTGTGTCCAGGGCTGGCCGTGTGCCTGATATTCTTAGAATGAATGCTATGTATGACCTTCTTCCTTTGGTAAATGAAATTGCTCGGCTCACACACTTTTTAATGCGATTTTTATAGAATCTTTCAGAGCAAGGGAGAAAGAGAAAGAGCGAGTGAGTCTGTGGCTGCCTTTCTTGAAAAATCACTGTGGGCCACAGCGGAACTCTGAAAGTGACAGTGTGAAGTCATTCTTGTGCTCGCCGTTTTGGATGGCAGATGGGAAGCAGGTGCGTTTCTGCAGGATGAGCTGAAGAAGAGGGGCTTAATTAAAGAACACGCTCACGGCATCCAAAAGATCTTGAATTGCCACCGTGTGGGCCTGCCTTTCCCCTTCCCCAGAATCTTTTTAACTCTTTTCATGGTGGGTCATTGTCCTCCCTGCAGCCCAAAGCAATGAGGCCGGGGCTATTATTTTCCTTGTGGACAAATGGCTCGCAGAGCTGGCTGCCGGGCCAATGCAGCCTTCTGTGGCCACTGTGCAATTGAAATGGCTCTCAGGGAAGGGGCCTCAGCTGCTGCCTGTCTGTAATTGTTGCTGGGACCCGGCCTTCTGGTCAGCTCTGGTCCCTGCCGCTGCTGTCTACACCGACTGTTTTTCCTCCCGGCTTCCAGAGATGAGGCTTCCTTTTGTTCCTCACAGTATTGCTCTTTCACATCCCCTGCAAATGCGGGAGCTGGCCTCTTCTGCTGTGCGAAGTCTCCGGGGCCTCTGTCGCTCTGCTCACTACTGTCCGACGGTGAACTTCTTGCCATTCCTCTCCAGCCTGCCTGTGCGGGTGGCCTCATGAGCTCTGATTCAAAAGATGACAAGGAGGCACTGGAAGGAGCCCTGGAGGCCCTGGGGCCTGCTGTCTGGTTGTAGGGACAGGAACATTTGAGGTCAGGAGGGGAGAGACTTTGCAGGATAAATCTGTGACACATCCAGGCAGATGCCAAATAATGCTGATTCCCAGTGCCTGAAACGGAGGAAGGTTTTCACAGTTTCCAGGAGAGGGGCCTGGTGGTGAGGAAGACTGGGCCCTCCGCAGTCCTGACTGGGAATCCAAGGGACTGGGAGCCACCCCGAGGGAGAAAGTGCTGCAGTCAGACCTGCTGCTGGAGCCTGGGTCTGGGCCACATTGCATCCAAGAACAGGACGACTCCTGCCTGGCTGGCCTCTAGACCAAGTGAAATAGAAATAGGAGAAGCGCCCCTGCATCCCGTGAGCAGTGTTTCTGGAGGGCGCTGGTAGGGAGGGAGGTGGAGGTGCCAGCTCACGCTTCCCTCCAGGACCTGAACATCACAGAAGCCCCTACCGATGGAGCTTCCATATTTCACTGCCTGATTCTGGATTATTTATGACAGCAAAACAAAAATTATTTATGAAGCAACTGTTTACAACTGAGACCCAGGGAAGTGACATAATCTAAGATTGTGTAACTAATTAGTGGCAGAGCTAAGACCCTGTTATATCATCTCCTTATTTTAAATCAATTGCAAAGCTTCGTAAACACTTCAAATAAGCACATATCTGGCATTTTATGACCTTTTTATGCTTAATTCAAAAGAATGTACTTGCTTTAAATAAATATTAAGCACATGAAATAGACTGATATATACACAAAAGACTGTGTATAATTCTTACGTATTAAGCTCCTATTGTGTGCTATGTGTTTTTTTTTTATTTTCCTGCATAAACAGCATTCTCTACTACAACCCAGCAAGGTAGGCATTATCGCCCCTGTTCTGCAGCTAAAGAAGCCCTCACTAACAAGGATGAAATAGCAGAAAAGCTGGGAAAAGATCACCCACAAAGCAAATAAAGAAATGGGAAGGAACACCCAGATCTGCCTGGTTTCAAAGCCAGTGGTAGTAACTTCCCTAGTGTGAACGAGCTCATCCAGGGTTAGGGTTTATTTACGAACAAAAGAGAAATCCCTCCGAATCATTCCTATAGATTTTTCTTTCTCAATCTAAGGAGTGACAGGAAAAACTGTAAAGAATGGGAAATGGACAAGCCGAATTGGCAAGTGTTCTTGAGTCAAGACCCCTCATGAAAAGGGTAAACCATTCTTTCTGCCCAAATGTGATTCCTGTAGCCGGGTCTCAATCAGCACATTTTCCACAGAAACGACGAGGAGGGGAGGGGCTCTTCCTGGGGTAGCTGTACACAGCCGTGGTGGCCAGCCTAATTCAAGGTGCACAGCATGGACACACACACTCTCACCCTGGCGACTCCCAAGCTGTTAGTTCAACCGTCCATTGAGTTTGACATCATAGATGGGGGTTGCAGGGTGCGCAAGGGAATAATCTGATTTGCAGAGAGGAAAAATTGTTTGTTGTGTGTATACTTCCTGTCTTTATTTTCACTATTCTTTTTCACTCAGCACTTCAAATTTCCACATATAAACAGAGTCTGTGGAAAGCGTTTATTATCTAACACTGTACTCTCTGAAATTCCCTCTATTATTCTATGGGGCCATGTTGATCAGGACCACCCCTGAATGTAAATGATGCCGTCAGAGGCCTTGCAGTCCTGGGGCCAGGGCTGCATTTTATATGTGCACATAAACACACAGGACGTCCTGCCTACAAACCATTTTGTCCCCAGGGCTAAATATTTAAGTGTCCCCATGGTAATGATTACAGATAAGACTTTTACATTGTTGTGATTACAAAAGGGAGTATACATTTGCATCTGTTAATAATCACCAGTCTCATAAACAGCAATAATAACTTTGAATTTTTCTTACTTATTCATTTAACCTGTACTGAATGTCCGTTGTGTGCTTGTACTCACTGGATTTTTTTACCATATTATTCTACCCTTACACATACATGTGTGATGTGTGATGTGTGATGTTCATTCTCCTTTGAGGATTTTGGCACTAAAAGCTTTCCTCTATTGGGAAAAATGTGAAAATATGCCTTTCCATCCAGAGTCAACCCATTTGGAAATAGGAGCAAAGCTTCTACAGACTCCATTTTTTCTTTCTATCAAATATCCTTTGTGAGATAAAGCTCCAAGGATGGAAATTAGCCACTTCTGTCCTGAGAATCTTCCCAACCCTATTCTTTCAAAGGGATTGTCCATAAGGCTCTGGGACCACCACAATGCGGACACGCACGGCTGGCTGACGGCCTTGCTTCAATAGAAAGCCTTTTAAAACATGCTCCCATGGTCCTGAAAAGGACTCTCTTCTTGGGGGCTTGGGCCCGGGGAAAGGCAGCCAGGGCTCCGGAACTGCTCAGCGCAGCTCAGGAACTGTTCTCCTCCAGATCTGAGAAGACTCCAAAGCACTAAAAATGAGGGGAATTTAAAAATCATGTTTGTTCAAGGGATGGGGGAAAGGAAAGGAACAGAAGACGGAGGCAGGGGAAGAAATTTATAGCAAAAAGGTTACCTCGGCTATTTCTCCACTCTGGGGGTCATCCTAGAAACGTCCCTCCTCCAGACGTGGGGGTGGTGCCAGTTGCCAATAATCCTCTCTTCCCGGAAAAAAAAAAAGCGGTTAGCAAATGTCAAGATAAAAAAGAAAATCAGCTGAACAAGGGAACAGCTAGGATGGGCTGCTCGATGGGCGCCAGCCACGGGAGCCCCAGGTGCAATCAACAGCTCTTTAAGACTGCAGGGCATCATTTCTCTGCTTTGAAAAACCCAGCCATCTCTTGGAGAGTCAGATCGATTAGAGGCCACCTTTTGTGAAAGTGATGCTATCATTGTGGTTGTAATTTATGCAAAGACATTCTGTGGCACACGATGATTAAATTATAGTATAGAAGGCAGGATTTCTATAGCGTGTTCCCCCCTCTGGATTTTGCACTTTTATCTACATTCGAATCAGGTCTGTGAAAATTTGGTGCACATGCTTTTCAATCTGTGTGACAGAACATTTCCACATGTTTCTGTGTATTTTTGAAGTGGAGAGAACGGTACCGCCACTTGGAGATCCAACTGAGCCTACGAGGCAAAGGCAATGCGATTCTTTTATAAAAAGAAAGAAAAGCAGACAGAAAGGGTTATTTCCTGAGACCTTTTAGGGGTGAAGCTGTGCAGGTAAAATAAAATCACAAAATAAATAAATAAAATAAATTGAAAAAATGAAAGCATTGTGGCTTAGCTCCCTGAACGTTAGAGACATCACCATACAGAGTTACATGTGCAGAGAGGAGACCCAAGGTTAAGATTTGCTTCTTACCTAGACAGCACCTCAGCATCCTGCCTTGTGGCCATGACTAGAAAGGAGCTTCCCCTGTCTCCACGTCAGCCACCATTTTAGTGTGGTCTCTGGATACGGTAAGATGGAGGCAGACACAGAGAAAGCCCGAGGGGCTCCCTCTGCACACTCAGCTGTGCCCCGCAGCCCCAGCGCCTCTCCCTAGGGGGTGCGTTATTCACCATCCCCCCTTCAGCTGAGTCAGGAGCTGCTGAGACAGGACAGCGCCGAGGCGAAAACGCAGACGATGACAAAGCCTGTGCTTTACCGACGATCCCGGGGTATGGCAGGGAAAGGCAGCCCCCCTCCAAGGCATTGCAGTGTGGGCTTTTAATGGGCTATGTGCTATCTGGAAATATTTAAGATGCAGCCACTATCCGTGTGGGGTTGATTCCTTCCTGGGCTAGCTGCCTTTTCCTCTCTCTCTCCAAATATACAGCCCTCATGACAAATCTGACCAGGGATCACAGGATGCTGCCGGCAGCTGGTGCAGGGTGGGGGGCTCTTGCAGGGACGGACAGGAGCCCGTGGCTTCTCCCTCCACCCCCTTCAGCCCGTCCAGCACCCTCCGTGCCTGCCCGCTGGATCCTTAACAAAGAAGAAACCTGCCTCCTTCACCGCCTGAAGTCGGGGGAGGTGGAGGTTGAGCTGGGAAGAAATGGGGAGCGGGGTCCGGGCTCTTTCAGACCTTCCTGGAAGACCCAGGGAAAGAAGAGCCCTAGAGAGATTCGAGGGCACAGCAGGGCCCTGGGCTGCGCCTCCTGTCCATCATGTCAGGAGGAGGAGAAGGAGAGCACCAGGCGCGCGCACGGGTGTGCGTGTGTGTGTGTGTGGTGTGTGTGTGTGTGTGGTGTGTGTGTGTGTGTGTGGTTTGTGTGTGTGTGTTTAAAGAATGTTAATTCATACTGAGATCCTAGGGAATAGTTCCCTAACTAGAACAGGCTTGGGAATAAATAACGTGCTTACATAGCTGGATCTCCCCTCCCCTTCCTTTCTCCCACTCACTAACACACACACACGTGTGCGCACACAGACACACCCACACACGTGCACACACGTTGCTAGTTACTAAAGCTAGCCTATGGGGCAAGGAAAAGCTGACCCTGAGAAATGCAATTTTCAATTCCCGCTGAAGCGCACGCAAGGAGGCTGTGCCCGGCACTCCAGGAGGACCGCACACCTTAGGTGGGCCACAGACAGGCACATCCCATACGTGGACTCGGGCGAGGTGCCCTAATGCGGCAGCTGAGGAGCACTAGAGGGACCCAGGTGGAGCCATTTCCATCGGCCTGGAGTGTGCACTGCAGGTCTCCAGCCTTGGTGAGGATCACGGGTGTGCTGAGGTTTCCCATCCACCCGCGCCTCTGTCTACACACACACAGTGCCTGGGAGCTGAGAAGCGTGTTTATTCTCCTCCTTTCCTCCCTCATAAATGACTGCTACCAGCACTTGGAGGAGAAGCTCAAGCTGGGCCTGAGTGAATGGAAGGCGAGCGGGCAGGCAGGGCTCACTGGCAAAGTCCAAGCCACCACCGCGTGTGTGAGTGATTTCCATGCTCTCATTCCTTAACCCTTTTTGAGATGATCCTTCTCTTCCCGAGTGCACTTAGGGAAGGCAGGTACAATCATCTGCTTTCCTGTCTCTTTCCTTGATCTGGCTCTATCAGAGAAAGAAAGAACTCTTAGGACACATCCAAGAGAAAAGATACCTGATCAAATTATTTCAGTGAAAGAAATCCAGTTATAAGATATAAATACATGCATTCAAATTATAATATAAACATGAACGTGTCTTTGTGGGTGTGCATCTGTAGAAAATACAAGACGAACACATATCAACACGGAAGCAGTAATACCTCTTGGTAGTGTGATAATTATATTTGATTTTTCATACTTCTTAATTTTTTCTCAAGCAAGATACAATGAGTTATGATTGCTTCTACAATCAGAAAACAATTAGCTTAAAGAAACAGACTATCTGAACAGTTACCATAAACATTAGCAAAGACACTGTTTAAAGTTCCGCTCAAGTACCCCAGTGTTCTTAGCAGGCTTTCTATCTTCTCATTGTATTTACTCCAGTTTTTATTTTAACTCAACCCAGTGTCTCTTCTGGGCTGTCAAGCTACCTGTGTTATAAACTGCTAGCGATTCTCAGTGACTGCACTTTACTTATGTCTTATTATGTAGGAATAGATGACGCCAATATTTGGCTGGGCATGTGGTCATCAGAGAATGCAACGCTTTCCAGCACCTTTGCAATGGGTGTGGCTTAGTGACGAAGTCCCAGCCCATCAAATATGAGCAGAGGAGATGTGTGCAACTTTAGAGTTATCGGAAGGGGCAGGTCACCCAGACCTTTCCTTCTTCTCTTCTTTATGTCTGAAATCCAGCCAAAGCAGAAAACCATTAATAAAATGGCTACACTGCAACTCCATAGGTACCTGCAGGCAGACTTGACTGAGGCTGGATGGGGAGGGGCTGCCACCCAGGACCATTCTCTCCCCAAGTTTGGCATCCAGGGGACAACTTGGGTCTCTTTGTCAACTACTTCTGGGCCTTGGAGCCAGATGGACAAACCGAGTCTCCTACAGACTCCAAGGGGCTCCTCTCTGTAACACTTTTTGAGTTTGTTGAAATTGCCCAACAATTCCCTAGCTATTAGATTACTACTTAGGAATCTTCATTTTTGGTTCTGTGTGCCATAACATACCCAATTCTCTTTCCCCATTATTATCCTACCCAAAACAACCACTGCCAGTCCCTTTATAAATTGTGGGAAGAGGGTGAATGTTCCACTTTCCAAAGCTCTCGGAGCTTGTCTCTGAAATGCTTTCCTATCAGATGTCGGTATTTATCTCAGCCAGGAATCTTCTTCCCAAACCACCCTCCTAGGTGTGCCCTGGGCCAATGCAATGATTCAGGTTACAAGGTCTGCAATAAGCTTCTGGTAACAGGACATTGTTCTGCAGTAACTGGCTATCTGGGACCTGTTAAAGGGCACCCATGCTCGTTTCTCTGGAAGATTCCAGAGCTCTTCACTACCACCATGGGTCCCCACCCAAGACTGGAAAAGCCAAGTGAAATCTCCTATCTGAACTTCTTGCTTTTGCTCTTGATGAAGAACCATCCTTTTTTCCTCCTCCTCTCCCTTCCACGTCACCACTGGTTAGGAATATCGACAAGGAGTTCAAATCCAGTTGTGCAAAACTTTGGGTTGAGGATGTCCCAGCTTTGCCCTGGCCACACCCATTCTAGGGAGACGAAGCCGTGCCTCCAGCTTCACATCTCCCTGCCCAGAGCCTCCACATCCATGTCACGTTTCTGCCCTCAGAACAAGGCAGAAATACCACCCCTCCCAGAGGGGTTTAGTAGGTGGCTTGTACCATCTGTCATCATCAACATGATCCAAAACCTGTTTTAAATTATTAAAAGTTTCTCTGAGTCATGGTCATCAAAGATTCTCTTTGAGTACACAAACGTCCTAAATGTGGGGCCCCGTGAAGCACCATCATGTGACACTTTCTGTGGCCTTAGATACTGACCATTGATGCAACTTCCCAGTAGGATGTCTCAGTTAAGGCTCAAATCTCTATCCTCAGCCCAGGCCTCTCAGTTGAAAACGCCTTGGATTTAGGTGAATTAGTTATTTCCACAAAGTCTGTGGCTTCCACTCCTGTGCCCACTATGGATCCCATGCCTTGGGTGACAAGTCCTCATTCCTTGTCTCCAGGCATTCTGGCAACATGGACCCCAGTGCCATTCATGTCCACTTTGGATGAAAGCTGTAGTTTCTTAGAAATTCACATGTGGAAATGAGGCCTCAGCATCAGCTTCCACATCCTTCCTTCTTCAGGAAAATTCATCTTATGGGCAAATTGAAAATAACTTCAGAATCCACCAGAAGAATTATGCTTGGCCGTGGTTCCTCCCAATTGAATAAAATCAGATCCTAACTTATCTTCAACCTCCTAGCTGCACATTTATCTCACTCATGTTTTCAGCCATTCCTCCTGGACTTTAACACAATTCCCAAAGTTTCCGTAGAGTCCAAATACCAAAGGAAAAGTTCTCTGCTCTTCAGCTCCAACTGTGCCCACAGAGGTACTCTCTGTCCCTTTTAGATAAGCAGACTGAGCTGAGTTGGGACACAGGGACGCATCATCACCATCATCACTGTCCCCAAAGCCGTGACACTCAGTGTCCAGGGTCCTCACATTTTTCACGACCTCTGTGTACATGGGGCCGTCTTGTCCCAGGGACTTGGGGTACA